CTTGAAAGCTCGCGAGATCAGGATGGTCTCACGAGGCTAGAAAAATGTAGCTCAACATTTGGAAATCTTTTTAATATACAGTCTCAACCCTGCAAAAAAAAAATCAGGAATAAAATCAATTCAGTTTATTTATATAGTGCCAGTTTACAACAAATCTTTTTAATGCACTTTAGGGAGACAAATCTATCAAATCATCCAGACAGATTTTCTTTCTAAGGAAACTGAGTCGTAATAGAAATATATAGCTCCTATCCCTGAAAGGTGAATGGATAGGAGCTATAACGTTGGAGGTTTGAATCCAATCTTTTATTAAGATTCCAGTAAATTTCACACGCTCATGATGGTAGACTGCCTCATGGCCGGTGCTGATGAATGGAGTTCGTACCAACTGTAAGGGCCATCACATCCCTTTGCTTTAAGTTGTCTGGGTGCTTCTACTGCTTTTTGCATCACTCTAAAACTTTATGATTTACTGAAAGCTTTATTCACTGGAAAGCACCAAAGAGGCCCACCTACCCACTAAAGCCACAATAAACACCAGCTGAGGGTCTGCACCCACTAATTACCTCTAATGAAACTGATGCAAGAAGCCGGGGCCTATCATGACATGCTGAGCAGAGGTGAAGATTGGAAACAGGGAACCATGCAAATAAGTTTTACTTTGGAAAATAGACTCACTGTCATCACACACAACATCGTATATATTAGTATATTACCTCCAGCTTTACAAACAGCCCTCCTCCCAGACCCTCCTTTGCAATAACAGCGTCTGGAAATATGTGTCTACCCTCAGAGGACCGGCGTCTTTGGGTGTGACTGAGCAATAAAGGCTGCAGCGTTACAGACACAAACTCCCCAGTCTTCCTCCAAATAAATTACAGAATGCTATTGTAATGAGGGATTGTTGCCGTCTTCAGATGAACAAGGCCTCATAAAACACAAACATCTCTGTCAGAACAGCTTTGATTTGGTTTGAAGACAAGCAGGCAAAGGATTGCGATTCCTGTTTGCTGTAAATATGATCAGAGAGCAATTCTCAGAGTCCTAAACAAAGTTCTGACAAAGAAAGAAACCTCAGCTTGGTGCATGTTTTTTTCCATCTCAATCAAATGCTCTCCATCTACCCGCCCACCTCCTCCAACTCAGCCGGCTGTTTCAATTGCTTCCAGACGCACAGAACGTCTGACAGAAATACGACAAGAATGCAGCGAAAATCATGCTAATTTTCTAGCTTGTCTCCTGCTTTACATTTATATGGCCCCTCCTGGATGAATCCCTTCACCTGAAGAGAAATGAATAACCTCTGTCTGAAATCAAACTGTAAACTCTCTTTTTTTGACCTAGGGATGACTTTAATATCAAGGTTCTTCAGGCCTTTGTGGAGCTGCATGAGTTTGCAGACCTGAACCTCGTCCAAGCGCTGCGGTGAGGAGACTTGATTCCCTCCAATGTTCAGAGAAGAAAGGCCTGGCATTAGACACATGGTGCTACTCCTGTCATTTTCTCTCCGTTTTAGGCAGTTCCTATGGAGTTTCCGACTGCCAGGTGAAGCCCAGAAGATTGACCGGATGATGGAGGCGTTTGCTTCGCGCTACTGCCAGTGCAACCCTGGAGTCTTCCAGTCGACAGGTCAGATAAACCGCTGGTTACTGAGGGGAAGACCAGAGACAATAGGATGTTTCTCAGATGTAACCTTAAAGCTGTCAGATGAGCTCCAGTACATCTTCAATCCCGCTGTGTGTCTCTACACTATAAAAAGTGTTACTGCAGGTGGAGGAATATTTTATTCTTTGGACAGGAGGCTGTAAGACAAAGAAAACACCCAGGAGTATAGGGTATAACTTTTTTTAGAAGTTCCTGTTCTTATGTTGTTCTATGGAGTAAAATTTGTATCAATATTGTTGCAAGTAAAGAAGATTTTTTATCAATAGTAATTTAAAAAAAATATATATAAAAATGCGGGCATGCGTTGGTTGCGCGAAGTTAGCGAACATGACCCATGTATGGAGTCCTTGGTCCTTTGTCGCATGTCTCTCCCCCTCTCTCATACCCCCTTTCCTGTCAGCCTACTGTTAAAAAAAAACGAGCCACTAGTGCTGTAAAAACAACCTGACTCCGCCAGATGGATTTGCTCCGTATATCCATCTGGAAACCTTCCGTTGAAGTAATTTTGGGAAGGGGCGAAAATACTGGTTAGCTGATTGGCCTATGTTGGTGATAGACGGGCCAAATAAACCAATCAGATCAACGAAGCATATGACGTAACAGAGCGACGACGAAGAGGATCCAATTGATAGATCAAACTCTTGTCGAAACCAGTCGGAAGAAGAGCAAAAACATCTTTTCCTCTGAGAAAAGCCTCCAGAGCAGTGTTATGCTCTTCTTTCAGTGAAGAAATACTCTGTAATTCCGATAAAACTTGCTCGATAGCCACGCTAACGCTAGTTTCATCGGCTGAAGCCGCCATGTTCTTTAGACTGAACTGTCGCGCTTCTCGTTGCGTCACACCTCAACCCGCCTCAAAGCCAACGCTGATTGGACGTTCGTTTGGTGAACGGCTCCAAATTTTCTTCAACGCAGAGTAGCAAGACTGATTAGCGAGTGAAATCTTGAAAGCTCGCGAGATCAGGATGGTCTCACGAGGCTATTTCCTGTCAGCCTTCTGCTAAAAAAGACAAGCCACTAGTGCTGTAAAAAATCCCCCAATTTATGTTGTTTAATTAAATTTTCTAATATTTGTATTTTTCAGAACAATTTTTAGCTATCATATTCTTTTTACTTAAAGCCAAATACAACCTTTACTTTTGAATGCTGAACAACAGGAATGCATCTCTGCCTGTCACCCCAGAGGAAAGCAGGCCTCAAGGTCTGCGATCTGTAAAGCTCAATCTGACGAGGAGAAAAAAAAGCTGTTCTAAAATTTGGGGGAAAAGAACATTTCACAAAACTAAAATGTGGAAAGAGTAAATCTCTCAGAAAACAGCAAAGTTACTCTGAAATCTTTTTTGATAAAGAAAATTTTACAAATTTCTGGATTATATTTTTTTAAATATCAATTTACAAATTCTTTTCATTGCTTACAGCAATAAGTTAAAAGAATCTGCTCCACATAAGTTCAATCTGTAAAAAGAAAATAGCTATTGACCAGCAAAGTGTTAGAATCGGATTTTTCTATTGTGAATAGTTGCTTAGATTAAGATAATAATAAGATAATAAGATAATTAATTAATTAACTAAGTAAAATGTAGTAAAGTCAGAGAAAAAGAACACGGTTCTAAAAGCAGTATTTTGAAAACAGGGAGTGGCGCAGATTCTTAATAAGATTTTTCTCTGGACTTGGATTGAGACATTTTTAAACCTGAATATGCTTTGACCTAAAACAGTGATTCCCAGACACCATGAGGAGGACTCTGCATCCTTTACAAATGTAGTTTATATATTAGAAATAATATATGCACAAGAATCCGAATAAGAATCCTAAATTGCATTGGCAAAAAACAAAAGCACCTACAATAAGTGGTTATTTTGTGGCTAATCTTCTAAAATTCTTGGTGCGACTAGCAGTTATAGAATGACTGGAAAAGAAAGATCAAGTTCTATTAAGATTGAGGTAGTAATAATAATTCAATTATTTGTCTTTATTTAGCCCTAATTCCTCTCAAAGCACATTACAGAGACAATTCAACCTGATGAGTCAGAATGGTTAAAAGTTTCCTCTCTAAGGAAAACCAGCTGATTGCATCAACTCACTGACTTTGCAGGATTCTGTACTAAATGAGCAGGTAGAGACGGTAGACATTAACTTAAAATTTGTCATTGAATCTACAGCCGGCCTACCCAAAGTTGGCCGCCGAGAGCCGCTGTCCCCTAGATTTTACAGTTTTCCCAGCTTAAGCAGAGCTGATTTTAATGATTCCAGCTTAGCAGAGCCTGTTAATCAGCTACCTATGGAAATCAGAGGTGCTGAAGCAGGAAACCTCTAAAACCGGCAGGAAATGGGACCAACACTGAGCAAGCCTGCTCTACAGCAATCCTTCACACTGAGCATGCATGTGGTAACAGTGGAGAGCAAAAACTCCCTTTTAACAACAAGAAACGCTTTGCAGAAACGGGCTCAGTGTGAGCGACCTGCTAAAGAGCCCAAGTGGGGTTTTAAGGAGACAGAAGCAGATATACAAAAAAACATAGAAGCACTGATCTATAAATACTTTCTATGTTAGAAAGGCTAACGGTAAACTAGCTCCCCAGGTGGTACTGTCTAAGAAAGAAACAGTTAAGCAGATAGGCTCTGACTCAGTTTGGACTGAAAAACAGGCCCAACTCTATCATCTACAATCAGAAGTGGTAATGGCAGCAGCCCAGCTGATAGCTTTCCCTCCAAGAAAGATTCACAGTAAAACAGGAACAGACAAGACAAAGTTACAATGATGGCAAAAAAAAAGAGAGAATATAAAGTTAGGGATTGAATAGATACAGCAGAATGGAAGAAAAGGGAAAGAATGAAAAAGCAAGATGAAAAGTGGTCCCTATGTCCTCCAGCAGTCTAAGCCCATAGCAGCATAAATATAGAGATGGCTCAGCATAACCTGAACCACTATATCAGTTTTGTCAAAAAGGAACGTCTTTGCTTTTCAACCTAGCCTTAAAAGTAGACAGGGTGTCTGCCTCAAGGGCTAAAACTGGTAGTTGGTTCCACAGGAGAGGAGCCTGATAACTAAAAGATCTGCCTCCCATTCTATTTTTAGAAATTCTAGGAACCACTAGTAAACCTGCAGATTGAGAGTGAAATGCTCTGTTAGGAACATAAGGAACATTCAGATCTCAGGAAGTTGTGGCCTGTTGGTTAGGGGATTGCGCTTGAAGTTCAAGTCCCATTACCACTCTGGACTGCCACTCTGGGTCCTTGAGCAAGACCCTTAACCGCACACAATGCTCCCGGGAGCCACACATTGGCAGCCCACTGCTCCCCAAGAGGATGGGTTAAATGCAGAGAGTTAATTTCGTTGCTTTGTACTTGTGAAAATGTAATGACAATAAAGTTTAATTTTATTCTATGCTGATGTCAGATGGTGCCTGATTATTTAAGGCTTCATATGTGAGAAGGTAGATTTTAAATTATATCCTGGATTTAACTGGAAGACAATGAAAGGAAGCTAAAATAATCATTTAAAAGATAATGCGTGATAATGCGGACAAATATTATTTATAGTGTACTTTACATAATTATCTCAAAGTACTAGAAAAAGACAAAAATATCAAAGGTTAGTTATTGGAAAAGTTTACTTTGCTCCTTGATCCAAATACATTAAAGCCCATTAAATTAAAAAAAGACGAATCCAGCATGAATGTTTTTGCATGACACTCAATATGCAGTAGAAGGAAAAACAACAGCAACAAACAAGGTTCATCCATTATTTAGCACAAGCCAACCTGCTGTTTTGATAAACAAAAGCCTACAGCTACATCGTTCACTGAATATTTAAAGAGGTTTCAGAGACCTGATGAACACCAGCCGAGCAGCTTTATCTTTAGAGATCTGGGTGCTCAGTCTCTAACTGCATTTGTTTAAAGATTATGCTAACACAGATTGTGTTCTAACCATGATTCCCTGATTTAAACAGTTCAGTGGAGCAACTGTACATCGTAAATAAATGACCTCATCCAGTAGAAAAGGCGGGGACATTTTAATGAGCCTATGGATGTGGGACAGACCATTACCATGGTACCTCGCATCTGATGATGGCCATACACTGAACTCCCTAACAGGGAGAGGGAATTCTTTTTATTCAACAAAACGGGGGTTTCAGAGAGACAATAGGATGGATGGCGTGTCAGGGAGAGCAGACAGACACGCCAGTATGAATGATTCATTTACGAGCAGCCACTGGCCCATGAAAGTTTAAGCATTAAAACACCAGACCCATGAATCTGTCTGAACACCACTTAGATAGATTGCATGTTATTCAGCTTTTATAGGCAAGTATAAAATAATGTCTAAAAAAGTAGTACAAGAAAAATGCAAGAAAGCATTGTGATGGATGTGTCTGACAGGTCTTTCCTTGAAGCTTTTAATCATCAATAAAATGATTTAAAAAAAAAAGGTTTAAAAGAGTTAGATTAGATAAGATTAGATTAGATGAGCTTTATTGATCTCACAGCGGAGAAATTCACTCGTCACATATTGGCATAAAAGTTACAGAAGGTGCAAACAAGGAGGAAAAAGGTGCATTAAGAATAAGCAATATATATACAGTATATCAAGATAAATAGGATTAAGGTGCAAGTGTACATGTGTCGCACACAATGAAAAACAAAATAAAAATAACAAATAAAAATATGTACAATCCAGATGCCTTATATACAGGTGGATTTACTTTTACGTTAAAGTTTAGTAGGTAAGGAACAACGGTGAGGTAGTGGTATGACTATTATATTCACATATGTTGCACAGTCAGCATATTGCACAGAATATTGCACAGTCAATAAATAAAAGAACTATAATATAGCTGCACAGAGGTTTTTACAGGAGTTATTGTGTTTATAGTGCATTATTATAGAGTCTGGTGGCAGCAGGAATGAATGACCTGCGGTAGCGCTCCTTCTTACAGACAGGGTGTCTAAAGCCCCATTTACACTACCCTTGAAAAACCGATCCAGGCCGAGACCGGTCCGAGCTTGGATCGGTAACCAGGCCAAGCTCAGTTTTGACGACCGTTCACACGTCACACTTATCTCGGTTATCTCGACTCCTCGCCTCCTAGTGACGATGTGCGGTATTACTGCTAGGATTGAAGGAGGGACTCAAGCAGCTGGTGGCGGTAATGCACCAAACGCTGTTTGTCAACCGCCGTAAAACCCAAGAAGAAGAAGACGAAGGAGGAGGGAATCAAGCAAATCAAAATGGCGGCGCCCGTCACATTCAGAAAGTTATGCTTGATTATTATTGCTGTACTTCCGTGTTTGCGGTGGGTCAGGCGAAGACGGCAACCTTGCGCGGATGTACTTGAGAAAGTCGGCTTTTGGGAAGCCGACTTTCTGGAATGGAGTGTGAATCGGCATGTTCAGCCAGTCGGCGATGACGCTTTCTGCTCATGCGCTCTTGTTATCAGAGAACCGAGCCAGGAAAAAACCGAGCCGAACCCACCTCGGGAACTGGTCTGCAGTTAGCGCGGTCCGGTTATGTCTATCTCGGTTCAGTTCAGGTTGTTTCCGTTCACACACGACAAGTTATCTCAGTTACTGAGCTCGGACCGGTCTCGGCTCAGTTTTTTAAGGGTAGTGTAAACGGGGTATAAGTCTCTGACTTTGGAAAAACAAAATACAGTAACAGATTCATAGATTGAAGTGCATAGGATCAGTTAAAGTTAGGGATGCACGATATAATGGGCCCCCTATCGGTATCGGCCTTAAAACTGAATATCGGACATCGGCCACCCCACCGATATTTAACCCCATATTTGATCAGCTTCTGAGTTTCTAAAGTCTTCCTCAAAAACTTCTTTTTTACAGACTTAAAAACTTCTAAAGACGAGGGAAAAAATATCGATACATTAAAATATCACAATATATTCATATGCTGATATATTGCCATTTAAAAACACCATATCAATCTCTTTTACTAATGAAATATTGCTATATGTCATCGTTATGCTACCAAATCCCCCGAAAATTCACGAAATTTTGCCAAATTTTTATATGTTGATATATTGACGCGGTATCGATCTATTTTACTAACAAAATCTCACAAGAATTTGCAAAATATCACGAGAGTTTGTAACAGAACGATGAAATTTCACGAGATTTCTAAAGTAAAATAGATCGATACCGCGTTTTTAAAAATCAATTTGTTATCAGCATATGAAAATATATTTGACTATATTATTTTTCAAAGTGTCAGAAATGGATAACAAAACTGCTATTTTCAATGACTACTTATTTTTGTCCAGCTTTAACATCGGTATCGATATTGGTTATCGGCTACATGAGTTTTAAAATATCGGCATATCGGATATCGGCCAAAATCCCAATATCGTGCATCCCTAGTTAAAGTCCCAATGGAGATTGGCTAACTTGTACATTTGTGATCATTTGAACAGAAACAGCTGCTTTTAGAGCAGAGATCTTGAACGTTAGTTTAGTCCAGGGACCCCAGGGAAATTTAACTAGTGTAACTTGGGTCTTTATCCACCGTGGGACGTTTGCCTCAGGGTTGTTATTTTATAACGACGAGGGAGAAAGTTGTGCAAAATAACCACCTGGTCATAACTAATGAAAATGATCAAGTTCAGGTAATGTTTGATTGATAAAAGTTAAGAAATACAGTTTTTCTGTTACCTAACCGTTGATATAAAGACATGAGTGTAACTGATGGAGGCGGTTTTGACATATTCTCTGCCTTCCTGTTTCAGATACCTGCTATGTGTTGTCATTTGCCATCATTATGCTGAACACCAGTCTACACAACCCAAACGTCAGAGACAAGCCCCCCGTGGAGCGCTTCATCTCCATGAACAGGGGCATCAATGAAGGAGGGGATCTGCCAGAGGAGCTTCTCAGGGTGAGGGTTTGTCTGTGTTTGATGATGTATCATCTGTTACGCCTCTGTCACTCGTGCTCAGCACAAACGAGCCACATCCTTCATTGTTCGCCAGTTTCACTGAAAGCTTCCCTGCTTGTCTGCAGAATCTTTACGACAGCATCAAAAATGAGCCCTTTAAAATCCCAGAAGACGACGGGAATGACTTGACACACACATTCTTCAACCCGGACAGAGAGGGCTGGCTCTTAAAGCTGGGTAAGTGGATTAACAGAACCTGGATCTGGCTGGGTTCTGTCAGCAGAGCAGCAGAATTACTTTCAGTCATTAAAGGTTTTCCATTTCCTGTTTAGATGCTCTCTTTGCATATTTTTGTTTGTGTTGATGCTGGATTTTTAGAGGCCATCTTGGATGCTGATGGATTCTGGGCAAAAATGTCCGAAGGCATCCGTGGCTGTGCTGCTCATTTTTACATGGTGTGACATACTGCAGCGTGATAGTGCGCTAAAGACCTTATTATATCACATTTACATGCTGGATTCACCAGCTCTGTTTTTGCTCTGTCAAATAGGTGGTGAACGTAATTCTTTCTCCATTAATTTAACTCCTTTGTTTGATCTAACACTGATTAACGAGAGCAGCTGAAAAGGTCCAGGTCATGATGTTACCACCTCCAGAGTTTGGGAACCTGTTGTATATGAATGCTGCCCAATAGGACACAGTTTTTATTGATGATGATTCATTCTGAACATTTAATAAAGATTTTATACTGTTTGGCTGTACCTGTTGTAGGGCTGAAACAGCTAATTGGATTAAGTGTGATTAATTGTTACCTGGGCTGCTCAGTAGCGCAGCGGGTAGCACTGCTGCCTTGCAACAAGGAGGTTCTGAGTTTGATTTTCGGCCCAGGTTTTTTCTGCATTGACTTTGCGTGTTCTCCCTGTGCATGAGTGGGTTCTCCCTGGGGACTCTGGCTTCCTCCCACAGTCCAAAAACAGGACTGTTAGGGTAATTCTCTAAATTCTCCTTAGGTGTGAGTGTGCGTGTGTGAAGGGTTGTTTGTCCCGTTTGTCTCTGTGTTGCCCTGTGATGGACTGGAGACCTGTCCAGAGTGGACCCCAGCATAGACAGCTGGCACCAGCACTGATAAGCATTAGGGGTGTAAATCACATCCATCATGGCGATTCGATTCAGTATCGATTTCCTCCCCAACGATTAGATTATTTTCGATACTCAAGAATACACCACGATACGATTCGATTTGATTAATTGGTTCGTTTTTTTTTGTTTGTTTGTTTTTAAACCCTTACAGGCTAGATAATGTTTCATATTTGAAATAAATCAAAGAAAGCTGTAATATCGTTATGGATTTTTTTTTAGAAACAACAGCAAATAACAGAAGTAGAAAAGTTGTACTTCACCTATTCCTATTAAAACCTAATTCACTGAAAAATAATAATAGCCCTACGTTATAGATTCTGAAAGGCCTTGCATCAAAAAATACTGCAAAAATACAGCACATAATCAGTGCAATGAGTGCAATGCAATACCTCGGCTCCAGACGTCACCGCCCCCTCCACAGACGCTCCGCTGCTCCTCTCCCAAATTCTAGCTGACCTGTCAGTGCCGCAGACAAGAGGCCGGCTTGTTTTGTTTT